TAAAACTTGTAATAATTTTCGATCTACCGATCTAAATACAATCATATTTATATTGTATATCTATAGGCTTAAGAGACAACTCGACTGATCGATGTTAATATATCGTGAGTTACCTAGTTATGAGCACAAAATATTTTATAATGAACTAATGAAAATTATTTTTATTTTATTTAAATTTAAACAGTTACTATTATCATCACATTTTATTTCGGCCAATCTCACTTGCCTTTAGTTTTTTTTTTCTTAAAAATGATTATTATTACTTTTGTTTAAAATTACACATATTGGCAGATTTATTTGAGGGAGAACAATCACAAGGAAGTCATTTACATTTTTATTTATTATGAATTAACCTTTATAATTTAGTACTTCATGAAATTATAGTCACATAATGTAGTATAAGTTAATTTGCGGTGAGACATTAAAGAGGAAGAATGTATTTGTAAAATCTCAGTGAAGAAATTTGTAGTAAATCCAACGTTTCACCTGGCAGTCTTTCTCAAGCTTTTCCAAAAAAATATAATCAAACATCAAAATTATCGAATATAAATAGGTACATAGTTCTGTGTATACTAAACAGGTTATCCAATCAATGTTAATCATGTTAAAAGTAGGTATTTGCATTAGTGTGTAAGAGACGTGTGGTGTGAAACGAAAAGTGTTAAGATAACAGATTGTGTGTATACGTATGTGGTATGAGAAGAAATTTCATTCACGATATATTGTCTTTGGTCAGCGAAAATATTGGATTTACTTCAAATTCATTCACTGACATTTTACAAATACATTCTTCCTTTTTAATGTCTCACATCTATTCGGCAACCGAACACTGTGAAACTATCCGATCAAATTTAAACGAAAGTTCTTATATAATTTGTGGTGATTTTATTTCCAATTAAATCTATTAGTCTAATATTGATTTCTTAAGCACTCTCTTACTGTGTTTAAAAATTTATCAAACGGAATTAGTTATTTCTATAAGGAAAAACAAAATAATAGAACGTCACTGACGGTTCAACTTGTTTCGTATTATCTTGCTTCACATAAAATACCTTTGATTTCGTTTATTTTATTATTATTGTAATTATTTTCTGAGCGTTTTGATCAAATATTTTGCACTATACTGCTTGTTTCATAGAAAGCACTCAGTCATTTACAGTTAGTTCACAAATAACTGTACATGATTTTTATGGCTGACTAGTCTAAAAGTGGTATGATTTTCGCACTTTGTTATAAAACAACTAGTCAATCTTCTTAAATGAGACTATGAACATAATCAAGCACCTATACCCCTTATTATGTTTCACAAGTTTTATAAAAGTACTTTTCACTAGTTTGCTTTATTTTCAAGAAATCTGTCATACAGAGAAATGATATCGCAAAAATCATTTTTGTTCACTGATTATCTCCAGTTAATAATTACCTACTGTAATGTTTTGTGAAATTAATTAATTTGGTTTTGACTGGAGTTTTAATTTCTAGTCCTTAAGAATATTATGTAATTTAGGTTAAATTATTTCTATAAATTCTAAATTTCTCATTTTAGTTATAAGTGGCATTAATTATCAATTTTTAAGGGAATGGTAAACTGTTTGTTTTTGCTGGGAAAGTGTATGTTAAGCTAATGTGTTGTGTTTTAATTCAATGAATTTTTCAAAACCTAACTGAAAGAATGTTGTTTTCTTCTGAGTCCCACCCTTCGGTTGGATGATCCACTTCGGTGCACATTGATACGTAATTAATAGTACGTAGGTAAGTTTCTCTATCGTCAGTTGGATGGTTTCGCTAGAATTTCCACTCATTTGCATGGAGATCTTGAGAAGAGACAAACTTAAGACTTAATTACATCTTTTGACCCGCTTTTTTTAAAATATACTCCTCAGTGGCATGACTTTCATCACTTTTTTTATTCGTACCAAGTAATTATTAATTTGTGATTACGGTTCCGTTTGATAGATTTCATCTAAAAATTTTGGAAATTCTGTACGTTTTCCATTGCTTTGACCAGTTTGTAGACTATCAAGTAATTTCTTTTTACTTTTCTTAATAATTTGTTATGACGACAGCAATCGGATAAATGTTGTTCTTAATTGTAATTGCAAATATGTTGTTTGTACAACCATGACAAATTATGTTATTCAGAGAAATTATAGATTACGAAATGAACTTGCATGCCACTACTTAATAAACATCCTTTACCCATTTTTGTGAGATTTCACTTTCCATTACCGATATCTGAAAAATAACACAAATGCAACTTAATCAACCAGTGAGTATCATAGATCACTGAACAACTAATTGATCTTGTTCTGAGTTTATAAATGTAAAGAATGATTTGTGCAGAATAACATGAACTCATTAAGCTTCTGATAGCAGGAACAAACTGCGAACCATAAAATGGACTATGAAATACTGAACTAAGAAAATAGGCATCTCGTTTATGATTCAGATAGTAAAAATCGTATAACTGATTGGTTTTAAACGTTATTCTTACCACACCAAATATTTGTAAATATACCAAATATGAATAATCCAAAGTTACTAAAGATCAGATTGCCATTCAACAATGACGACTAATTCTTATAACATCACATCTAATAAAGTAACTTTAAAAAACACAGTGCGGGCAACATACTGGTAGAATAATGTTTATTCAACACTCATTTCGTAATACGAAATGTGAGGATTAAACTCCTTCCTAAATTACTAATTCAGTTTATATAATAAACTTGATCGATATATTACAATATTCTTAGCTTCTTAAAATAGCCACTAACAAACATTAAATGGAACAGGCGGACGATTTTCCATGTTTCTTATCATATGTATGAAGAGACTGACGAAAAATAAATTAAAATAGAACTTGAACAAATTAATAAAACGAATAAAAAATCTCCCATGGGAATGGAAGAACTAAAGTAATATTATGCAGGAGAGAAAATGATGAAGCTAGGTCAACAAGAACTAGTTACTAGTAAGTTCCAGATACCATACTACATCTCGAGGTGATCTTTATTAGTAATCAATGCATTTCACAAAATTACCCATCTCGATGAATTGAATTTGTAAGTCCCATGAAATTAACTATGCAAAACGTTCACACTTTTTTCACATGAAAATGACTACTGAATACTTGATCATTATTTATTTTGCTACAGGTACAAGGAAGCGTCTACATTTTAAAAGATCGCGAAATTTGAGGATCAGTTAACTTTGTTCTGTTTTAAAATCAACAACTACACAAATTAACCAGATCTTCTAACTGTAATAGAAGGAGAACTAAGTAACACTTAATTAGACATTTCTTCACTCCGGTTTGGCTTATTGCTTCCTTGGGCTTTGCATTTAAATTGAGTGGACATTTCACTAACGAACTATTCTTTAATCTTCTATCCAGTTGATATACAACTAGTTTTTACATTATTGTGGACTACATATGTAACCGAATTTTCCTTATTTGTCTTTAGAACTTTATTTACAAAAAAAAACATGTAGCAAATGACTTTTGCCATTTTATGATAACCGTATCAAACTAACTGGACCACCAGGTTAATATAATTTGAGAATCCTTATATAATTATGGCAACGTTAACTTGCGTTTACATCGTAACAGTGACTCAAGCGAGCCAAGCTATTGTAATGTTACTCTCTTCTTATTTACAAGTAAGTTGCTTGGCGATTATTACATTCGAAAGCCATTAGAGGTAGAAAATGTTGTGCACTGAGAACCAATGTTAGGTGATAATTTAATATTGATTTCTCCGGGATATAGGCATCTAGAGTAACAGCATAGAATAACTGCAAGGTGAAACGTCTAAAATACCATAATTAGCTAACTTAGCGAAGCTCAATAACATTTAATAAGGTTTTATTTAAGGACCCAAGATTGAGAAACAGATATACGTACAGACGTGGCTGACCAATCTCAAGCATATATTTATAACTTCATGGTCATAAACCTGAGTTAATGAAACCAAGACAACTTAGCTCCTGAAAGGTACTTCAAAAAATCCTGAACTTGGCGTCAGCTTAGAAGCATCGGTTAGTTTGACTAATTTTGGTAACAGGCAATCTTCTTGAAAGGCAGCAAAAATCATCAGAACTGGGATGAATGTAAACAATATAGTTAATTGGCTACAAATAATCCAAAATACAAGTGACGAAAGCATAAAAGAATAATGCTAAACCTAGTAATGACATCCAAGTAAAAGCAGTTTAGTGAATCAGGCATTTTACATCTATATGCTTATATTACTTTCTGACACAATAAGTTTTGGTGAGTTCGGATCTCTAAATTGATGAATGAGTTGACTGTCAAAGCTAATGAATTTCAAACCTATCTAACCAAAGCAAAACAGAATGAAAACAAAGGGAATAGAAGGGACGAAGGCTGATATTTTTTATTAATAGCCGCCAATCTAGTGCCTAATTTAAACAGAAGACATGAACACGTAAATATTGTTTTATGACAAACTTTATTCCATTACCATCTTTAGTTCAAATCATTTTGTCAACCGAAGCGTAATCCTACATTGTAGATGATCAAAATGTCGTTGAAGCTCCGCTAATATGTTATAAGGATTCTCGTTACTAAAAGTAAACAAAGAAGAATGTTCGAAATGCCTTTGCATTGTAAACTGTTTGTAGGACCTATTAACCTAGTTCATTATCTACTTAAAACAGAGATGATTTTTGGTTTTTTGCTGAAAACGAGGACTTTGAATGTTTTATGTTCTCCGAGCTGGTTGGTTGATGCGTGAAGCTTTTATTGCACTTCTGGACAATGATAACGACACATATTTTAATGAGAATAGAGCCGTTAGGATTTCCCACAACTGACTAACAGATCATTTTGTTGAACATGGACAAGTGGCTAGACAACGAACCGTGTTAATAAATGAAATTCAAAGCAAAAGCGTAAAATGACATCTTAAACTTTGGTAGTGATACTCTCGACAGGAAATTTACAAGTGGTTTAATTTTAATAAAGATGAAATTATGAGCTTTTAAAATTACCACAACCGCTTAATGTGTTAACCGGATATCTCATCACTAGATTACAAAGAGGTCAGTATATAGATAAGATGGAATCTCATTAAGTAAATCTTTTAAATAAATTAATTTCAAATTGTACAACTTTACTAATCTTAAGACAATACCCCAAGATTTAAGTAATGAAAAAGTTCAGACTCCCAGAATTTTCCTTAAATTAAATATGCAACAATAACATTCTTCAAATATTGGTTTGTTGCTGAATCAGCGATAAATATGTGTAATTAATTTACAGATATACGTAATAATAACATAAAACATGTCTATCAAGTATTTATGATAGAATAGTGAAAGAGGTTAATGTCACGCAAATACATGTATATATGAGCATACAGATTATGGTAAAAATGATAACCATTTATAATTAAAATGATAAGCTTTTTAATTGTTATATTAAGATATCCTGAAAGACAACAAATGGTAATGCAATGTGAAATATATGAAAACATCAATCGTTTAAAAATGTATTTACAAATGTAGATGAGCACTCGTAACTACTAGATGAAGGACAAGTAGAATTTTGATTATTAACATTTTCCCAATCTTGAAGAGCTGCTCTGCATTGATTGACAGAAAATTCAGCATGCATTTTAATCCAGTCATAATTATCGATTTCATTTAAAGAAACCCTTTGACTTGACAACTTTTTGAGCATCTAAGAATAGAAATTTGAAAGCCACTAACAAGTAATTTATTAAGCAGAAAAAGTCATTTGCAAAATACTATAGTAATTTAACTTCCTCAAATATATTGTTCGCATGGTGCTTTATCGTTAGCATAATCTAACTTCACACAACATAAACTCCACTCATAGCCAACACTATATTCCTAGGAAATTATTTTCGATACAATACCGACAGTATCTCAATGTACACAATAATCAACCAGTAATCAAAAAGTGAGAAATATTAAATACTATAATTATGAAATGAACTTACACTAGTAATGAGCTTCGTCGCACCCAGATTTAATGTATCTGGATATGAAACATCAGCATTTCGGATCTTTTCGGAGATCTCCTCGAAGGTTTCACCATCAAACGGTAAATGACCGGTAAGCATCTCGAAAGTGAGTATTCCCAAGCTCCATATGTCTACACGATGATCATGAACACACTCCAAATGGAACAATTCGGGAGCCAAGTAATTGAGCGTACCAAAAGTAGTCATACGTCTAATTACTTGTACGAAAAAGAGAAATAAAACCTACCGTGAAGCTGGTAAGTGCACTGCGCTGCCAAAATCCGCAATCTTCACTTCACCGCGAGCTCCAAGAAGTATATTTTCTGGTTTGATATCTCGATGTATAACATCATTTTGATGACAGTAAGAAAGAGCTTTGGAAAGCTGGTATACGTACTGTAAAACATGAACGATATGCCTTGTTATATATGTAAATAAAATCAGCTTTATATACATGAATATAAAAGACATCACAAACCTAAGCAATTAAATATGAAACGACTTATTCGTGCCACTTAAAATGATTTCATGATCACAAAATCATCTAGGTGACGTTGACAAGAACTACAACTAAGTGTTATTGAGTGCAACCTCTTAATATTTACTTGGACACGAAATTATGTTCGACCATTCGTTGTGTCACTGGGAGACAGAAATCAGGTGTTTCGCATTCTAAAATATTTATAAAAAGTCAACTCTTATTTGTTAGACCATGGATTGAAAAATACTATTTCTGTTTCGTTATGAAGAATACGGTGGTATCAGTCCTCAAGTATCAAATTTTGAAGAATATTAAAAACACCGGGAGTTATGAATCATAAAACCATGTAAAGTTAAAATTAACGACAATAATGTAAGAGGAAAAAAACTGTATAACACCAAGGAACAGGTGCGACTACAACTTACAACAAACAAGCATGAGTTTTTCGACACTACTGGAAAGGGTTTCAAGGTATTCTTAAAGACAGGTTACAGCCTATTTATAAACTGTGATCAGTCAACCGTTGACTACTGATGTAGCTCAAAAACAAATAATGGTGACTGTCTGTTGTAACTATGCTCAGACAATCGTTTATTTTGAACAAGCGTTAGTTTCAGACATAAGGAGAGACATTGTCCAACATAGCAATCCCCTGAACCAAGCTAGTGGACCCAAATACAGCATATAGCCATTTGTCATCATTGAAGAGGCTCGGTAGAAGGTTGCCGCTCGTTCCGGAATACATGATCAGACTCTCATCATGCTTTGATACGAGTACGCATTTGCTTGCGCCTCAATGGAAGCAGGAAAGCCACATTAAGAAGATCCATCACAACTTGACTCAATAATGAGAAAGCTGACCTCCGGCCACTCTAGAGCTGCCCACTATTTCCAAACGGCCTGAGTGAAACATTGAAATAGGTTCCCCAGCTGTAACTGCAGTTCAAAAATCTATAGCTGATCTGAAACGAGGAAGAGTAGATGGTTCAAATGGATTAACTACAAACGTCTGTAAGGATGGTGGTCTAGTTTCGGCGATTGGGTTGACTAATATTTTAGCTAAAATCTGGGAACTGAATGTAATCCCATCTGACTGGCGTCTAACAAAGACTCGTGAACTGCAAACACGAGAAAACCAGGTTGGCTTCAGACCTGATCGTAACTGCATCGACCACATATTCATCATTCGCCAGATTTTAAAATACAGGTATGCCATCGGCGTCCCACAATGATAGTTTTTCTTGACTCGGTAGACCAAGAAGTTCTGTGGCAGTCTCATTGAAAGGCGTACCTCAGAAGTACATAAACCTTGTAAAGACTGTCTACTAGAACACTAGTATTCGAGTCACAGCTTATGGCGAACTGTCATCTGATTTTTAAACCTTAAGTGGTGTCCGGTAAGATTGTCCACTATCTCCATTTTTGATAAATTCCATCATAAACCTACTACTGGAAATAACGTTCTTGTCGTCTGGATATTTATGGAATGATCTACTGACAGGAGTTCCACTTATTGGCTCAGAATACGCCGATGACATAGTCCTTTTGGTGAAGACGCCGATAAAATGAAGTCTTTTGGCAGAACTGAGCAACAATGCCAGGACGTTTGGAATGCCTTTCTCCCCCTTTAAATTCAAATTGTTGCTTTAGGACTGGACTACGTTAACACCTGAACTTAGGATAACGAGTGAAGTAATCAAAGGCATGGACAACTTCACTTATCTTGGAAATCTGATCAGCCCTAATGGGTTGATGTCTAACGAAATCTCAGCATGGATTCAGAAAGCTCGTTTGGCTTTCGCCAAATCACGTTACCTACGGTGAAGGCGAGATATCGGTCTATCAATTAAAGAACGAATATACCGCACGGCAGTTCGTCCTATTTTACTCCGTGGCTGCGAAACGTGTCCTTTAATGGTAAAAGATACTCGTAAGCTACTAGTATTTGACCACAAATGTCCTAGAAAAGTTGCTCGCATCTGCTGGGATCATCGGGTAAGTAATATTAAGGTTAGACGCAGGGTATTGGGAAATAATGGTAAATCAGTTGGTGAGGTTGTAAATCCTCACCGACTGAGATGGTTGGGCCATATGTTGCGTATGGCTGAACACCGATTATCACGACGCGCAACGCTGATTAGTGTTGGATATGGATAGAAGAAAGTTAGAGGTAGCCAAACCAAAACTTGACATCAATCCTTGAAGTCACTAACTTCTGGTCTGTGCCATGTTTGCAGATGCGGACGACTTGGTTGGGGTCCGCGTGACTATCTTAACGAGTGGTTGGAGACTCTTGGTGACATGGCTCAGAATTGATCACAATGGGGTCGGTGTATACACTCTCTGTCTTCCCTTAAACTAAGAGATTAAAATCGCCTCATATCTTTCTTTCTACGAACTAATTCTTTCTTCCTGTATCATATCCTTATATGCAATCTTTCTTTTGCATATTACTATCACTGACGTAACTACTTCCATGGTGTTGACCTTGTTGTGCTAATGGGGTATGGTAACTTGAACCGATGCATATATGTGCCTGGTCCTACGTTGCAGATGACTGAGCCCAAAGACATGTCGACATGAACAAAGTAACGCTTAGTATAACTGTAAACCTATCTAGTCTGTCACACTTCACACCAGAAAAGTGAATGAAATCAATAAGAGGAAAAGGTGAAGAAGGGATAAATAATTTCAGTAGTGATTAACTAATGTTACAGATTTACAAGAATAAAAGAGATGAACCCACCTAAATCAATAAGACCAAATTTTTTAAGGTCTTCAAGCACAGGTTAAAATTATCTGACGAACTCCAAACAAAAAGTCTACATCTCTCAATACAGTTCAGAATAAAAGTTTAATGGACTGATAGTATGTAATAAACTTCCTACGGTTCTCTTAACGTAACATCCAGGTAGGCTGAAGTAGGCAATACGTGAGTGAATATAAGTCCCTATTACCTCAGTCGATGGTGACCCATAACATCAAGTGATTTACTGTATTTACCTAGAATCCCACCGTACGCTTAAGCTGCAAAAAACACCTATGATCAAAAGATTGAAACCTTTACATGTTCTTTAGTCATGAAAGTTGTTTGGAAGCAGTAGAATAGCAAGGAGAAAACTCCTGTGGAGCATACTAGTTCTCAGTTATACTTGTGTAGCATCTGTACTGCAGATCATATATATATATATATATATATATATATATATATATATCAGTAAATGTCAAGAGAATCCTTTGTTATCGTATCCGGATATTATCAGTCACCAAACCACTACGGCTGATAAAACCTTAGGGTAAGTGAAGCGCCAAACAGTTAGGCATCGATATAAATCAGCTATGATGAAATATTTTGAATTTGAATGAAAATAAATTCAGCCCGAACATTCTCAAGTTATTAAAGGTTTTTAGAAGACTGAATTCTGTCAGTGTTTTCATAAAACAAAGTAATTTTGTCTGATCACACCAAGTTGATATTTCAACTAGCAAGCAGTCTATTTATGAGAACTGAGATTAAAGAACTGTTACTTCGGGGGAATATCTATAATAAGCTAGAAGAGGTGTAGGTGGGTATTCCGAACAAGTACCACTAGATTCAGTCATACAACACATAAAAAGACAAAACGTAATTACCAGACTAAAGGTGATAACTCCTATTAAAAACAAACTCAGAAGACTTGATAATAGTTATCCAGAATGTGTATGGTTCGTTAGCTATATTTCTTACTGATGACGAATATGCTATTGGCTTTAGTGTAGTTTAGTCCGTCGACTCGACCATTAGCCACAAGTTTTGTATGGGGACTAGACATATTATCCGGTTATCTGAACCTGTGACAACCGAAAGTAGACCACTCTACTCCCTAAGTAAATTCCCTTGCTACAATACACTTTCGGTTTTTGACGTTTATTCCAAATCTTTAGTTTTTGACCAATGTTAACACAATCTTTTTAAATGGACTGTACTGTTGACTTTATTTGTGTAAAATTTTGATGAGTCAGTTTGCGCCAACACTAATTTCTACCAAACATTGCATTATCCATATGGCATTGTCTGTTTCTTTATTGCGTCCAGAATTCCCTTCTAATGAACGAAGTCTTGAGTAATAAATGAACTCATCGTATTATGCAAAATCATACGCTGTATTTTTAAAATATGGAAACAATACACCATTTACCCATCTTCCTTGAGTTACCCCTTACAAACCCCATTGTTCTTTCATCCCTGTTGTTACTTTGGTTGCTTTCTGGTTTCCTTCATCATCTCTTTATTTCCCTATTTTGTCCATTGGACTTCTTTCAATTCACGGTACAGACTACTTATATATCTCCGTACAGGTAATACACGTTAAACACTTATCATTTAATTCTTGTGTTTTGGGTACGGAAGCTTTAAAAGTCCCATTATTGTGATGAACTGAATGTCATTATATAGTAATTAGGTTGATTATCACTTATAAGGGAAAAGACAATGAATACTTATAAAAATAATGGCGTACACTCGGTCAGAGTTTGGTGTTTCTTGTCATGATTCATAAAACCCAAAAGCAACACGGACAGTGTAATGTCATTGCAAAGCATAGACAGTATATGCAGTCATTCTAAACAGGTCTTCTAAGTTGCTCATTAACAAGATCACAGAATACCTATAATCAATGTGTATGTATGTACAACTCCATACGTAAATATTTGGAATCTAATATCATCCGGCATTCATTTACTTGCTTTCTTATCACCTTCATGTCTCAATATGGAGAAATAAGAAGGGATTTCGAACAAATATGTGCTGAGGTATATATTATAGACTATCTGACATATGAACTTAGGGTTTCTTACATATTCATATATCGACAGTATTTAGGTTGAATGAAAGCTAAATCACTACATGACACGAAACAGATCACTTTTTTAGAAGCTAAACACACCAAAATGGCATTATTAAGAGACGCGACAAGAATTTTATAACACAAAATAATTTCTCGAAAAGTATTGTAAATTTAAAATAATAGGAATTTTTCCGCTGACTTTGCTGTAGTTGCAGTTGATTGGCGGCAGTCCACTTATTTGTGTGAATTCACTGCTCATTCATATATATATATATATATATAAAGTGCATTTAGTATCAATAAACTTACAGTTGCTGCGCGACTATCTCCAAAATGACCAAAGCGATTGATTTCTTTAGATAACTCCCCCCTAGGTACATACTCAAGGACCAAATAAATACGCTTCTTATCATAAAAATAACTGTACATACGAACAATATTTGGGTGTCTAGAATTATTATGAAGAACATAAAACGCCTACTTTAGATGTGACTGTATTTCTATTTCTCGTTGCACTTGTTTCATTAATTCCTTTGTTACTAGTCTAGGCTTTAAAAGTATCTAAAAAATTAGGTCTTCAAGAATGAAAAAAGACCTTCAAAGCAATGACAAATCGACTAGCTTTTTCCCTCGCAAGATGCACTGAACCGAAGCGACCTTCTCCGAGTTTCCTCCCAATATCTATATCGTCGATAGTCCACTTTGATTTTCGTTTCCTGGGGCAGCATAAACCTTACGGGTGATTTAAAAATACTTACTTATGGAAATCTGCGGAGGAATTTGCGAAAGTCCTAGACACATGATTTTCAGTATCATGAACATATGTTGGAGATGAGCAATGTAGATGACTTGGATCATTATCTGAAGGCAACATTATAGAGTTTGACTCCCAACGGCTTTGTGTTTAGCCTGAAGGTACGTTGTGTGTTGAGGTGTGAGGGGCAGTGTGTGAAAGAATCTGGAAATAAAATAACAATGTAAATGTGAACCAATAACTTAGTAAGCACAAAGGATGAACTCACGTTTATCAAGAATATCAGCCGATAACAGCTAAAAGTAACACGTGTGCAGAATTAAGACAACGTGATAATCGAAACTAAGTGGTGGCCGAGCTTGGTTTCGAGTGGCTTACAACATGTTAAATCATAGAGGCGCCAGAATGTTTCGGCCTTCAGAAAGCGTCAAGGTAGGTAAAAGAACTTAACATAAGCTTTCAAACGGTTGTGAACGGAATGGGAAGAGACTTCACTCCTTGAACTTCTATGTGGATCGGCGACTTTTTTATTTATTAGGACTTACTTACATACGCCTGTTATTCCTAATGGAGCATAGGCCACCGACCAGCATTCTCCATCCCATTCTGTCCTCCGCCTTCTTTCCACTTCTATCCGATTTTTGTTCATTCTCCTCATGTCTGTCTCCATTTCCCGGCGTAATGTGTTCTTTGTTTTTCCTATTTTTCTTTGGCCTTGAGGATTCCATGTGAAAGCTTGTCTTGTTACGCAATTGGGTGCTTTCCTCAATGTGTGTCCTATCCACTTCCAGCTCTTCTTCCTGATTTCTTCCTCCACTGGGATCCGGTTTGTTCTCTCCCACAGTACGGCGTTGCTGATAGTGTCCAACCAACGGATCCGAAGCATTTTTCTTAGACAACTGTTAATAAACAATTGTATCTTCTGGATGATGACTTTCGCAGTTCTCCAGGTTTCCGCCCCATACAGTAAAACTGTTTTGACATTTGTATTGAAAATCCTGACTATAGTGTTGACTTGTGGACAGCTGTTTTTAGTTCAAAATGTTCTACAGCTGTAGCTATGCTGCATTTGTTGTTGCGTTTGCGAGTTGAATTTGTCAACTGTCCTCTATGCACTATTTTGCAGTTTAATCCATCATAGGAATTCTCTAAGATATTGACTATCTTTTGAGGCACGCCGTAGTGTCGAAGAAGCTTCCTTAGTGTTGTTCTGTCCACGCTATCAAATGCCTCTGTAGTTATCACAGTTGCTGAGACCGCTTCTCCTAAGAATCTTGTTGAGGTGTCCTTCTTTCCAGTCTGTTGGTACTTGTTCCTCATCCCAAATCTTATTGAAGAGAATGTGGAGCATGTTTGAAGTTACCGCTACGTCAGCTTTCAGTGCCTCTGCTGGAATGTTGTCTGGCTCTGCTGTTTTGCCACTCTTGACTTGTCTTATGGCCATGCTGATCTCTTGAATTGTTGGTGGGCCAACATTGATAGGGAGGTCCTTGGGTACTGCTTCGATATTGGGTGAGTTCAGTGGGGCTGGTCGATTTAAGAGTTCTTTGAAGTATTCCACCCACCTGTTTTGTTGTTCTTCAATGTTGGTGATTACCTTGCCTTCCTTGCTTTTCACTGGTCGTTCTGGTTTACCCTGATTTCCTGACAGTTTCTTTGTTGTGTCATGCAGTTGTCTCATGTTTCCTTCTCTTGCAGCCTTTTCCGCCGTCATTGTTAAATCTTTCACATATTTACGTTTGCCAATTCTGATGCTCCTCTTCACTTGCTTGTTTACTTTTGTGTATCAGCTTGTGCCTTGGCTTTTTCTGCTCTTGTTCGACTGGTATTCATTGCTGCCTTCTTGTTCCCCCTTTCTTAAATCTTATCCAGTGTATCAACAGTGATCCATTCCTTGTGATGGTGCTTCTTGTGGCCCAGGACCTCATGACATGTTGAAGTGATTGCCTCTTTGATCCCCTTCTAGTTGCTCTCCATAGTAGTTTCTTCTTCATTGAGTAGATCATGAAAGGCTTGGAATCTGTTGCTGAGGACTAACTTGAATTTGTTGAGTTTGTCAGTATCCTGAAGAAAAGCCGTATTGAACATTTATGATAGTGTCCGCCCCGTTGTCCTGTACTTCTTGAGTTTCAATTTCATCTTGGCGACCAGCAAGTGGTGATCTGATGATATATCAGCTTACCTCTTGGTTCTCACCTTCTCCATCGTCCTCCTGAACTTCTTGTTGATGAAGATGTGGTCGATTTGGTTTTGTGTAGTGTGATCCGGTTAAGTTCATGTGGTTTGTGAATGCGTTTATGTGGAAATATGGTCCCGCCTATGACCAGTTTATTGAAGGCACGTAGGTTTGCAAATCTCTCACTATTTTCGTTTCTTTCTCCCAGTTCGTGTCGTCCCATGATGTCTTCATATCCCGTGTTGTCCATTCCAACGTTGGCATTGAGATCTCCCATCAGAATGGTCAGGTCCTTTGTTGGGCACTTCTCGACGATTGACTGCAGCCTATTGTAGAATTGATCTTTAGCGTCTTCATTGTAATTGTTGGTAGGCGCATAGCATTGGATGATGTTCGTTGAAATGCCCTCTTTCTTTGTTTTGAACAAGGCTTTGATGATCCTTGATCCATGAGATTCCCATCCTATAAACGCATTTTGCGCTTGTTTGGATAGCATCAATGCAACTCCTTGTGTATGTGGTGCATTTTCTTCTTCATGGCCGGAGTATAACAGGAGCTCTCCTGAAGTTAGTCGTTGTTGTCCAACCTGTGTCCAATGTGTTTCACTGATCCCAAGTACCTCTAGGTTGTATCTTCTCATTTCTTCAGCAAATTGAAAGCCTCTCCCGGTGTCTCACATTGTACGAACATTCCATGTACCTAAATAAATTGTTGCTCTGGTTGTCAGAAGGGGCATCGGCCTCGTAACTTCCGAAGGAATTTGGCTTTCACCATGAGACGTCATAGTTCTTCTAAATGAAGACCTTCTGACTCCCAGGGCAGAGTTTAAAATGTTTGAATACTTTTTTCTAGTTGGCGTTTTTTAGCGAGTTAGTTTTCTCCGGGATGGGGTCGCTAACTTCATACCCAACCCTCATCCTTCATCCGGGCCTGGGACCGGACCAATCTGTACTGGTTCACCACTCCGGGGTCTGAGATTGGTTAGCGTAATCTTAAAACTTGTAATGAGCGAGTTTAACTTCTAACTGAACAAAGTCGAGTCAGAGAAGCTATCTCATAGCTGACCTATGGATTGACCGCTTGGCATGCGAAGAGTGGAGACGATTCAACTGAAACAGGGCATCAAATTTATTATTGATTCACTTTGATAAAAAGTGCATGGTTATATGAATAACAGAATCAGCAAATAGCTCACGTTTTTCTGCAGTATCCATTCTTCATACCGGCGTGTGACCATCGAACTGTGATAATCAAAATACCAGCATATTCTTGTCTGGGAGAACAACTCAATCCGGTAAACAAGGCATATCTCCAATAGATCTCCTATGAAAACTTCTATAAATTACTTTTGTGTCGTTTGAGAGTCCTACTGGGTTCAAGATAGATTCATAAAGACAAGTGAAGCGAGAAAATGTTCCAGCAATATGCAGCAATAACATTCAATCAAGTGGACAAATAATAACCGTGTTCAAATAATAAAGTTTTGGTCACAGAAAAATAAGAAATATAAAGACAAATTGACAAAAGTCCTGGATAGAAGTTAATGCATAAAACAGAGAAAAATTCAAAAGATATTAATACTGTCAATAGGACACTAAGTGGAATATTTCAAAATATTCATTTTATTTCGCTCACTTCTTCCTAACCATTTGAATGATTTTTAAGGTAATAAGCTTCAAACTAAAAAAAATCAATAATAGGAAGCCTACTTCAGTGATTCATTTAATAGTCTCTATAAAAACTGCGATTGTAAGAACACTTTGTAACGGTTTAATTATCATTATATTGCTATAAAGTCATACCATTTATTGACTCCTTTAGGCTAGATAGCTCAAACCCGGAAATCAAACCATCACATTAAGATTCAAATGAACCTTTCATCGAAAGATAATTCAGAATGTACAGGCAACAAAAGATTGTCCAAAAGTGTACGACAATAACTCCAAAGACTTTGAATTCATCATGAACACTCGTTTACAGTCAAACAAGTGACTGGTTCTACTATGATATTTTCTTGGGGACGTCTTCTATCCGAGCAGCATTTAATAATATCTATTCTGTCTGAATTTACAGGGCGAGTGAAATAACATGCAAACCTAGTTTTTCGCCCCGTTGAACATGCTCACACATCAGAAAACCGACTTGTTGATAATGTAGTTTTTTCTTTAAATTTGATAAGAGCCTTTGATGGTACTGGGTTCATGAGATTCCCATCCAATAAGTGTATTTCGAGCTTCTTTGAACAGCATTAGAAAAACTCTTTGACTATGTGGAGCACTTTTGTTTTGGAGATCGGAGTACGGATGCATCTGTTTTCGAGCATCACCAAGTTTTATTTTCTCATTTGCTCAGCTATTTCATTAGTCTTACTGATCTCTCACACTGTCCGAACAATCCGTGTTCCCATATTAATTGTTTCTTTGATTGTTATAAAGAGCATCGGCCTCGTCAACTCCGAACAATATCGGCTCTCTACATTGGGCATCATAATTCGTATAATTAAAGATCCTTCAACTTAGGCACAGTATGAACGGTCAAATCTGTTTGTTCTGGTTAGCATGTTTTTAGCAGTTTGTATCCTACAGGATGGCGTTGCTGAACACATGCACAATCCTCCTTCTTTACCCGAGCTTGGGACCGGCAGTATTCATCTCGTTCTCGACCCAGCTGTGGCGGATACATGTCTAATAACTTGCCACAATGTGATTGTCACATACCAGTATTTCATTCTGATTTCGCCTTCTATCACCTCCGATTTCCTTCATATTCTTTCACTTCCGTATTCTTACACATTTTCACTTTTCAATCAACCTTCTGCTTAATAGTTTGATAACTGTTGGTATGCAGAATTCAAATGTATTCACTCAACCTACAAGATCTACAAACCCACAAATAAACACCGTACAGACAAGGATGAATGAAGTCGAATGTCTAAGCCAACACTCATTTAACATTGAGAAATACGCGTTACCGTAATGATAAATCAAGAAGCAAGCACAAAAAGCTAGTCGGTTCGTACAAGGTCGTGTTGAAAATATTGAATACTGGAGGCACGGAACAACACAGATTTGGCGGAAAAACAAACTTCGGATTCATTACTGCGCTTCAACATAAGAATGTATATACATAAAAAACAACAACAGACAAACATTCTTGATGAATACAAACTTATTAATATAAGAAATATTTCCGAAAAACACGCTAAAGTTAACCTTCTAGGTGTGATTA